GAGGTTTTAGCCACTTTTTTTAGTATATGAGCAGACTGCAACCCAAAAAATACCTTTTTCATCCTGCTTGTGCTTGATCCAGGTTATTATGATAATTATTATGACTACCATGTCAAAGTCACTGTATTTCATTTGTCCTTCTTGTGCTTCTGTACCAACGTGCTATATTGCATAGGACAAGGAAGGGGTTGGCACTATTAAATATTCAACAACTGTTATTTTCCTATGATTTTCTAGAAGTGAAAGTATAATGTTTTCACTAAGCTTCTTATTCAACACACTGGACCTTTTAAACGACCTGCAACAGGTGGTGTAAATATTGGAAAATGATGTTTATACGTTACTTTAAGGGACTGTATCATATTTTATTACAATCTAACATGATTAACGGTCAAGTTTTCCTCTTTGAGGACTATCATGTTACGATAAAAGAGAGTAGTCATTTTACTAAAATCACTTTAACTTGAAATAAAACTGGAATTTTTATAAACAAGTAATAAATTAACTAACCTTGATAGTATACAAGGTTATATGTCAGCTTATGCTCTGTGGGTATAAGTATATTTTTCATGAAACTTTTTGTGAGCTATTTTAAAACGTGTACAGTATGTTTTCATGTCATTATGTACAGTGTTTGTAAATATATTTCTCTTCTGTGCTTCCATTTGGTACATACGACCTGTTGACTTAGAGTTCTGGATAGAAGAAACTAACTGGGGTTAGGATTTAGTAATGTTTCTGTAAAGAACACAAGGTAAAATCTGTCCACATTTTATCACACAGGCTAAATGAAAAGTTAAATAAAATAACTTTTAAAAACTGTAACAGCCGTAAAACTAAAGAAATATGGTACTTTATCAAAATTAGCTTTTTTATTTTTGTTTGTTTATTATTGTTAAATATTAAAATTAGTTGAAGGTGTTAGTAATTTCCCCAAAACCTTCGGATTTGATTTGAAACATTTCTTCTTACAGATGTTGTGCTTTTACAACAACCAGGTAGGCTTTGGGTCGATTTGCCTCTTCGCCAATTATAACACTATTTATGTACCTACATGTTGCCATGTTTCCATTCGTTAATCAATTAAAAGTTTATCTTGCTAATATAATTCTCAATAAACCTTACTTTCAGTTACTAAAGTTTCTATGGAGCAGTTGACTGTTAGAAAATAGGGAATATTACCGGTCTTAATTAACCTAAAATAACTCAGTGGAGACATAATACTAACGTGGTAGGCTATGAATAGATTATTGAAAATTACTTTTTGCTACTAAAAAAACTTAACGGCTCAACATTGAATAATGATAAGGTAATGATCAATTGCCTGTGTCAGTCAGTTTGTAAAGTCAGTTTTTGCAAAACTAAAATCTGTGCTCATGATAAAATTGAGGTTTCGTGCCTTCTTATCATAAAATGATTTGATCGCTCACAAAAGCAAAAAAAAAAAAAAAAAAAAAAAAAAGATAAAGGTACGTACAACTGCGCTTTACGTTAGATTTAGTCTCAGCATCTGGAGCGATGTTGTCCTTGTTTCTACATCAGTCAGTACAATATTTGACTTATTTTTAGGTACCAAGAGCTCAATGCGCAAACTGCTAATGTAACTTCAAGTGCCTTGTTTAATAAACGTATTATTTAAAACATGTGTGTCTGTTGAGCAATATTTCCTGCTATGGATGCATCATTGTATTTTACAAAACAAGGAACGATTTTAAGTTTGGTTAAATTTAGCAAAACCTTTTTGTTATCAATTATCAAGTAAAATTTTACAGGGATTCTTGCAGAGACAGACAATAAGTGACTGACAGGATGTTATTTCTACTCTCTACAGACTCAGTGGTAAGAGCTACAAAGTAAACGGTACTTATATACAATGTAATTATGTCATTCACGCACACATGCACATGGCTGCATTCTAGCTTGGGAGTCCTTGGGCTCAGTGAAATAAGCGAGGCTGTCACACACAGGCGCCATCGGGCCCTCTGCAGAGCAATACTCCATTTGCAGGGCAAACTCCTGCATCCAACGCCGCTGTTGGATACAGAGCCAGAAATAAGGAGCTCACTGCCTGGATGAGTGACTTACAATCTGGCAATATGGATTAATATTTGGTGTCATCTGAAGCAATTTGTATTAATATATGACGAGCTGAGATTTTTGTAACTGTAACCCTATTATTATTCTAACCATTTTATATAGACACATTAAAAATCATCTTGGGATCTTTTGGTACGGCTTTAGTATTTACAGCACAATCTCAGATTATTTCCTCTATGACAACTTATATCTTAAGCAATTGTAATCATATCTACTGTATAGTACTGCAATCTATCCAGAAGGTTACAAACAACAGTCCAATTTTCCTGCTGATTCGATGCTGTCTTCCTTATAAAAGTTCATTCTTAGGGTAACTGAATGGGTCTTTTACATCTGCAGTTTTACCAATGCCTGTTTGTCTGCTTAGATCCATGAGCAACACAGGAAGTAGAGAGAACTGCTTTGGTAGACGTGACAGATTACCTGCTGATTGTCTTGTTTTTTGTTACACTGCTTTTTTTTTTGTTTTCCCACAAAACTTCTGCAGTAAATCTCTTTGCAGTAAGAACCAAGCAAACAAAATTAAAACTCGTTCAAAGATCGCACAGTGCGAGCAAATGTAGCTTGTCTCCTTGTAGCATAATTTTCATAAAACATGAATTAAACTTTGATTTTTGACATATTTGTCTTAGTCAAATGTAATCTACCGGTATGTTTTAGAAATCAGTTTATTGTAATGGGGAATGGTAAAAAAAAAAATAGCTGGAAGTAGATATTTAGTTTTGGGGATACTGTTTGGACTTATCTTTGTCATGTTTGGTTTAAGGTGCCTAACCCACATGCAGAACACTCAGAGGCAGGAGAAAAGTTTAACAGTTTATTGAAGGGTTTGAACACAATAAATGAACAGATCCAGAGGGGAACTCGTCTGGTCACGAGTGGGTTCTGAAAACACAGAGTTATAAGATCCAGGACTGGTCACGAGTGGGTTCACTGCAGAGGGGGACAGAGGAGTTAGTGGAGATCCAGGTAATTTGCAGGTTGAGAGAGAGCGAGGCTGTACCTGTTCTGGAGTTGAGCAGAGCGGCTGAGGGGGGGGAACCTTGAGGGTCCAGAGGCTGTCGGCAAGCTGAGGGCTAGGCAGAGGCAGAGCTTAATTGAGTGTTGGCAGATAACTGATCTGAGTTTCCTTCCAGAATCGGGCAGGCAGGGCTTTGACAGGAATTATTCTCCAGGGTTCTTCTGAGAACGGACAGGCAGATAACTGGCAGAGAAACTCTTCAGGATTTCAGGTTTCAGGCAGGTTCAATCTAGGAAGCCGAGAAGAGAGAACAGATCAGGTTCAGGTTTTCAGGGAGTCAGAGGTTCAGACAGGCTGGTTGGCTCAGGCTTGCTAACCGTTACTGGCAAACAGTGTGGCACTGTAGAGAAGTCCTCTGCCTCCTTAAATACGGATCTCCTGATGAGCAGATGAGCGACAGGTGGTTGCAATCAGCTCCTGCTCCAGGAGATCTCGTACGCCCTCTGGTGGAGAAAGTGGACAGACCTCCAGATCCCAACAATCTTTACAGAAGATACATATTTGAACAAATACTGTGGATAATGAATGGCTTCAAATACCAGATATTTAACAACCCTAATACAACGACATAAACCGAAACACTTTTTTTTTGTAAAACAGCATTCTTATAGCCTCCCTTTATTTAAAGTAAAACTATTTTGTATACAGCAGGTCTTAGTGAGATTATATAGGTGCCTTACTAAATGTGAAGATTTAAGCATGAAAATACTTGCAGAGATAATTTGGCACCACTTCTTTTAGACAGATCAGAACAGCATCTGTCCTGAAATATGCAGCCCCAAAGAGCGTCAATATGTTTTCTTTTTTTGCTATAATCATAAAGAGCTTACGTAAAAGAAAACTTTTCTTAGTGTGAATTATTTAAGAGTGATTTTATTTATTCTTCTCAAAAAATTACAATTTGAACACTTAACACGCAGTTTTCATGTTGCCTCTTGTGTCATTGTGGGGCTTAATTTAAAGCAAATTTGACACAAAAGCTTCAAGTTTGAATACACGCATTTAAACAGTACTCTTTCCTGGGGGGAAGGATCAACATTCACCCTCACACTGTTGTAATCCTTTGGTTACCACAATAAGTAGATTTCTTTGTTTAAATTCTCCTAAGGGTTCTTTTTAAGTTTTATACACTTATATGCTTTTCTTGGTTGCGTTCATAAGTTCATCATAATATTGCCAATCGGTAAGGGTACTTAAATCAGAGTGCGTTAGCGGTCACCATGGATAGCAGTAAGAAAGGCGGTAGAGGTAGCAGGATGCCTCTTATTGCTAGTTCAGTTAGCATAGGGTCTTCCTGATGTTGCTATCTGCCGCGTAAGAGCTGCATAAGAGCTGCAAAGTTGCTGCACAGTTGCCTACAATCCTTTGCATGGTACAACTTACAGGCACAACAAACCTCAGAGAATTGAACAAAAATAAATTCTATGAAATGCACTGATTGTGAATGCATCTTCATATGTTTTGGGTTTTATAACTGCAAGATTCATCCGTTACATTTCAGTAACTTTAGTTTTTATGATTGGCTGTGAGGCTGGGCCCACCCTGTACTGGTCAGTAGTCCACCACAGTGGCTTTTTATTTACTGTAATGACTGATGCTCCTGGTAGTTAACCTCTGGAAGAACAAAGCTGACCCATTTACATAGTGTTTTTGTACCCTGCATGAATATACGAAACAATAATAAGAAAAAGTAGTCTTTTGTCAGATGTTGAATTATCATCATTTTATATGTAACATCACCCTGTAAATTAAATTCTGCAGATTTTTCGAGGAGAAAACAAAATACACATTAGTGTGTTACAGTATGGATTAGTAGATTGTGTGTGGGTAAACTTATTTTAAGACATCAGCGTTTCATTTCCTGAACTTTGATCACAGCAGGTGCAGTCTTCATTTGAAGCATTCGCAGATGGCTTCGCTTCATTTGTTAACTGCAACACATTTTCTCAGCTTTACTTCGTCTAAAAAATGACAATGGATGCCCTCAAATGTGTCTTTCTTCTGTGTTTTTGGAGCTTTACTGGTGAGTTGAAAATAATATATTTTATCTTTGCATATCTAACATTGAAGGTAGGAAATCTGCTGTCTTAAAAAAAAATATTGCGTGAATCAAAAACAGAAAAGAGTTATGGAGGTTTATCAGTAAAAAAAGTTTTTGCAAGTTTATCTACTAAATCCCCTGTCTTGTAAATGTATTCATAGGCTGCTAATTGAAGGTTTAAACATGTTTGTCTCATTACAACCACACATTTTTATCTCATTTATTTAGATTTTCTATAATAAATAACATAAAAAAGTAAATAATTGCTAAATTGATGGAATCATGGTTAGCAATATTTGATATAAAATGATTATAGGAGTAAATTGTCACTACATGGGCCTTACACAGATAAACGTGGAGCCAAAGTTTTTTGTTATTGTTGTAAGATTGTGTTATCCATTAGAGCAGGCATCCCCAAAGTTCGTCATCGAGGGCCGCAGTCCTGCAGGTTTTAGAGGTTTTCCTGCTTTAGCACAGTTGATTATAATGATTGCAGTAGAGCAAAAGCCTGTTAATCAGCTTTCAATTAAAATCAGGTGTGCTGGAGCAAGGAAACCTCTACAACCTGCAGGACAGTGGCCCTCGAGGACCGACTTTGGGGATGCCTGCATTAGAGTATCCATTAAAGCAGGGATGTCCAAAGTTGATCCTCCTGAGCCGCTGTCCGGCACCTTTAGAGGTTTCCCTGAAGCTTAGAAACATTAACCTGCACTAGAAGACAGAGTTTGGACATGGAATAAACACAGGGGACTCAAAGGGTCGTATGGCTGCAGGTTCTCTTTCCAACCAAGCAATAGCACACCAGATCCCAGTCATCTCATCAACTGAGTGCAGTCTGAACATGATGACTTGATGACCTGCAGCCACACGGCCCTTTCTGGAACCGGTTTGAGACCCCTGGATTAAAGTAAAAGAGATTTGGGCTTTTTTCTAAAAATATTTAACTATGTAAGCATTGCTATTTGGAAACCAATGATGTCCTGAATGTTTTAATACTACCAAGTGAAAAACTGAAATTATTACATTGGTAGTTTATTTTTATCAGTGAGTATAAGTAACTCAAATTTTACAGGTAATTATTTCTAAAATACGAAAAAAATCTGTGACCAATATACATACCGTTGCTTCAAACCGCTAGCTATTTATTTAATCTGCCGTCACTTTTAGTGTAAGATAAGATTAGATTAGATGAGCTTTATTGATCTCACAGCGGAGAAATTTGATGGTCACATATTGGCATAGTAATTAAAGAAGGTGCAAAGAAGGAGGAAAAAGGTGCATTAAGGATAAACAATGTATATACAGTATATCAAGGTATATACAGTAAATCAAGATAAATAAGGATTAAGGTGCAAGTGTACATGTATCACAAAGTGAAGTAGGTAAGGAACAACGGTGAGGTAGTGGTATGACTGTTACATTCACATATATTGCACAGTCAATATATTGCACAGTCAATATATATAAAAAAAACTATAATATAGCTGCACAGTGGTTGTTACAGGAGTTATTGTGGTTATGGTGCAGTATTATAGAGTCTGGTGGCAGCAGGAATGAATGACCTGCGGTAGCGCTCCTTCTTACAGGCAGGGTGTCTAAGTCTTTCACTAAAGGAGCTGCTCAGCTCCTCTACAGTCTGGTGCAGAGGGTGAGAGGTGTTGTCCATGATGGATATGAGTTTGGACGGCATCCTCCTCTCAGCCACTTCCTCTACTTAAAAACAACATATTTGTCCAGACACTTGTCTAAAAGTGTCGTATGGACTGTTTTCCTTCACCATAAAGGTCGTGTCAGGTCAAGTAGGAGACTGTGTTACTCTTTGTGGGGATGGTGGCTCAGGTGGTAGCTGTTCTTCCTGTAACCACTCAGTTTCTCTCAGTCGTCGTATCCTTGGGCAACGCACTTTCCCTGCTTTGCCTGCTCTTGGTGGTCAAAGGGGCCTGATTGTATGTAAGCCTTGCTTCTGTCTGTTTGCCTCAAGGCCGCTGAGGTTATAATATAGCTCACCACCATCAGTGTTTGGATGAATGGGTGACTAAATGTAGACTGCATCTGTATATAAGTTCAGACCAATTACATTTTAATGCTCACGGCGTTGTTTTTTTTGCTGGTTACTCAGTGATTGTTATCAGAAATATCTTAGACTTGAAAGACGCAGTTCCATCTATCTGGGCAAGAGTCCATCTAGTCACCTTTGAATAATCTGTCTCTAGAAATATATTTGCCATCTCTGGATGTTTCAGTGTGTATGGGATGTACAGTGGTAATCAGGCTGCAGCGTTCCTTACCTTAGTCTTGTCTTTGACCAATGGACACCTTCTAGATGATTCTATGAAAAACACTGCAGGAGCATAGAGGCCTAGATGGCACAGATTTGTCTCTACCTCTTTCCTGTTGACTATTAGTACTGCATGTCTGGTGGCACTGTTCTTCTCATTCAAAATTTGATGATCAAATTAGCATTGGAGAGTGATCTACTGCAAAGCTACTGGAAGCCTACTAGTGAGGAGACCTGTATTAAAAAGAGAGAAACAGCTAAATGTGACTATTTACAGACAGACGTATGCAATATATATGTTTGAGATTGGTGTCGCACAACCACTTTGCTTGTTTGCAGTGAGATACCAGCTGCTGGATGTTTATAAGACCATGAATTTGTAATTTTAAAAGAAATTATTTTTTCACAGACATTTCTAATTTAATGCAAAATAGATATATGAAGTACTGAAATCAGTTTTAAGTTGACTCATACTGTGATATATTTTTCTTAATATGTAAACTCATCATTTATTAAATCTAACATTGTTGTTAACCTAAATCCTTTCTCATAGGAGTTACATCAACAGACTCGCCTGTGATGCTTTATGGACTAAGGAACAGCTCGGTGTGTCTGCATGTCAGAAAAACAGCTTCCCACACTAAGGGTGATTGGATGTTTGGTGAAACAGTAATCATTAATGAGAATACAATCAATCCTATCTATGAAGGAAGAGTGACTTTTAGCCCAAAAAACTTGACCTTGTGCATAAATCAGCTGCGTGTAAAAGATACAGGCATCTTCAAGTTCTCCTACTTGGTAAATTTTACTCGAACATCAGAAAGCTACGAAGTGATTGTAGAAGGTATGTTCAAGCTGTACTTTATCTTAAGCTAAAGAGAATGTTATAAAGGACAGTTTCATTTGTTAAAATGTATTGACTCACAATTCTTTTTTTTTTTTTTTACTCTTTAGTGTTTTGAGATGTCAATGTCAATTTTTGAATTGTGTTTACACAAGTAACCAGCAGATGGTGACATTAGTCAATCTGTCTGTTTCTGGTTTTCAGATATTGTTCCCAGACCAGTGATGATTCTGACTCCAGAGAATCCATCCAATATATCAATGGGATTCTGTAATTTTACAGTAAACTGCTCCATCCAGCATGTTTGGCTGTCTTCTAACTGTAATAAAGATGGCTGCACAACAACTCAGAGGTCTCTTAAAAACCTCAATATCAGCATCCACACTGACAACTCAACTGTTACTTGCAGCGGCAACAACCATGTCAGCACAAATAACATCTCAGAAAAAATTACAGCCATCTGTAAGTAGCAAAAGTTTTTCATAAACTAGAATAAAACGTTCATCATTATAGCAGTTACTGAAAACTATTTAATTTTAAACATTTCACATTTTATTTGCATTCATTAAAAATGTCATTTTATGTGTGCTTATTACAAGTCTAAAAGGAAATAATTGGTAGCTATAACCTTTTTTCTTTATTTTTTACAGGTGTGCTCAAATCTAATCTTGAACAGAAGAAGGAATTAAGAACAGCTTCTAGTATTTTTATCTTAATTATCATCTTTATCATTCTTACTTCTGTACTTCTCTGTGCTTTATTTGTTTTTCTTATCAGAAAACTTCATCAAAAACATAATCAGGTAATCCATTAGATGATGATCAATATTTGATTCAATTATTTATAATAAATGGAGCCTTACTGAGTTTCTATATTTGAAAGAAAACAACCTTTTTCTTCTACTTTTACTCCAGGAGACAACAGCTGTTGCCCAGTTAATACAAAGCGGACCGTTAGAGACGCAGCCACAATCTGAGGTCAGAGATTCCACAACTTCCAGTGAAGCTGAGCCTTCTTATGAAAACGTGGAGGCCACTCCGCCTGGAGAGAACGGTATCTCAAGAGATGAACTTGTCTTCAGCGAGAGTCAGATGGTAGATACTGTCTATAGTGTCCCTAGAAAGGCGAACTCTGTCAAAAGTGACAAAAAAAGTGAAGCATTGGGAGATGGGAGCACGCAAACGACTTCAGGGTCTGTCAACCTAAATACAGAGCAGAGCCTCCTACAAACTGAGACGGTGTACAGTGTACTGGAGATGCCTAAGAATCTAAAGTCATAGCACCACCAAGAGGACAGACACTGGCTTCAGCAGAACGGAGCATCAGAAGAGGTCCATTCATTTTCTTTTGCTTTTCTGAGATGTAAAGACTGGGTAAAGGATCCAGAGCGGAAATTCAGAGACACCTTTTCATCTCTTTAAGATCATAAGGGTTTTTTCTGGACCACAAGGATAACTACCATTACTGTAGGAGGCCTCAGCCAATCTATCCATATCCTGCATCAGCTCAGCATCATGACTGGACAAGGAACCAGGAAGCACAAAAACCATGAGGCAGAGAGAGACTGATCCACAGGAGAAGATCTGGAATCAATAGCGTTGGTCTTGGTCAGTCATATCAGGATGCCATGCAGTCAGGATCTTTTAAAAATATTCTGATAGACAATTCTTTGCATGCTCCAGTCTTTACAAAAAAAAGGACATTTTAAGAAACTCAGACTCCCTAAATTTTGTTGTTTACCTTTTCTAAAGCTAAAGCAGCTTCTTCTTCTTCTTTTTTTTTTTTTGAGTTTTTACAGCACTGGTGGCTCGTTTTTTCTGAACATTAGGCTGACAGGAAAGAGGTTAGAGAGAAGGGGAGAGACATGCGGGAAAAGGACCACAGGCCAGATTTTTACTCCCGCATAGACCATGACTGGGTGGAAACATTTTCATATGAGTGAATGTGGACCGAAAATATTATTCTTGTAACATGGCTTGATAGGACATGCATTGTGAATTACTGCTGACTTAAGTAAATTCAATGAAAATATAAACCTTACGTAACTTTTTAATTCAAGTTAAGTATGACATGTTTTCAGAAGTTTATGCAGGCCTTTTGAAAGCCATACCTTTATAAGATAATAATCTATAATCTATAACATTGTTTAACAAAGGAGATAATTCATATTTACTCATTTAAGATCTTTTTTCAAGCTTTTACTTTTTTTAATTACTGTTTCGCTAAATTCTGTTCTCATATGAATGGAATTTCCATTAAAAAACTTTAGCATGGAATTTATAAAGACAAATATTTAATATCAAAAGATTTAGCAGCAGAAGGTGAACAAAATGTTATTACCAAACCAGTCAAGTGAGGATTTTGGTTTTTTTTATGCATAAATTTGATTAAACTTCAAATTTTCCTCAGATTTGAATAATATACTTTGAATAGTTTTGTTCTTCTTCTCTTGCTTGATATGGCTGCTTAATAGATGAGAAAGTTGTAATGTAATACTGTGAAACATGCCGAAATAGTGTTAATTAAATCCTATTTAAAAAAATGAAGAACAACCTGTGTTGTGATTAAATCAATCATTTCACAAACATATGGATCTTTTGATTGATATTAGTTCTTATATATGATTATTTTCCTGATGCTGAATAATCTGAATTTTTTCAGAGGCTTAATCAGCTTGGTGTTGTTGATTGTAAAAGACTGTTTGTGTATCATTATTTTCAGACCCTGTAAGATGCTCCATCCATGCTGATGAATTTAACCACTGTGTTTTTTTAAACACAGTACTTAGCAGTTCAGTCGTGTCACAGTGTTAAATCATCCAAGGCTACTGCTGTTGTGCAACAGAGGTTGTATTCATTACCAACCCCTGTATGGGTTGTAAATATTTTATTAAATCAAATATTATTTGGATATGGCTGCACAGTAGCACTGCTGCCTTGCAGCAAGAAGGTTCTGGGTTCGATTCCTGGCCCGGTCTTTCTGCATGGAGTTTGCAAGTTCTACCTGAGCATGCACAGGTTCTCTGCCCGTAGACAGCTGAAGATAGGCACCAGCACCCCTTGTGACCCCACTTGGGATAAGCGTGTAAGAAAATGGATGGATGGATAGATTATTTGAATTGATATATGTTTTGTGTTGGAACAACAGAAATTTCTGCAAATATATGGAATAAATTCACCCCAACTTCCACTCAAAATATAGAATCCAAAAATCCTTCAGCTCCAAGTCCAACATATTTCAGCAAAAAGCTCTGAATAAACCAGTGAAACTCAACTAAACCTGTCGTACGGCTCAGGAATAGAGAGAGCTCAAATGCAAGACCTGACACAGTGTAGTAATGTTCAAGATTCTTTTAGTACACTGTGGTCCAACACCAAAAACACAAAGTAAGCAGAAGTAGCAAAAACAGAGACAGGGAAAGGTCCACAAACAAGCAGGATAAAAACAATTGCTAAAAAAAAAAGCTAATTTCAAATCCAAAAGGGCTCGAACGCTTGAATCAAAGGACATGACGAACTGGCTGCAGTTCGTCAGGGAAGCTGCATGACGGAGAAACAAATAGGCCAACAAACACAGGAGGATCACAAACACTAGGTGAAAGTGTGGCAGATTCTGATTGCCGGGAGGAACTCAGGAAGTGAAGCGGTCTAAAATGAAATAGGAAACGAATACAGAATAAACAGGAAGTGAAAATAACTGGTGACAGAAGTAGACTTAACTATTGAGGACTGCCCCTGACAAAACCAAGCTACTATACACAAAGAAGAAGGGAAAACATGGTTGAAAACCATAATCAATGACATGATGCATTGATATCTCAGGTTGGCATGGATTTAATGTTTGAGAAGCAAAGTTTATCTTGAAGAATTTAGAATGTGAACAAATTAGGTTTTAATTAATTTAGAGCAATTGAAATGTTATCAGCATAAGAGAAAACACATGAATGTTGACCCTATATTAATGTAGCCCTCAGCCAATCCAAGCTCTGGATTTGGTTTCTGTGATTCCACCTTCCTGTTTGGCTGTGAAAACATCCTGGAGAGAAATATCAGCTGTGCTGCTGCCATCAACACCTGTGTTTATAGATGATGGAGCTTGGCCTGTTTTTCAGTGCAGTCCTGTTTCTCTGACTGTGACTAACTGTATGTGCACTCGTTCTTCAACTGACGTAGGACCTGGCTTCTGGCTCGTCTGCCTGGCTGTATGTTTCCCTGACGAAGCCGCCTGTGGTGCAGGTTGACAGTCACCTTTTGTGTCTCCGCCCATTCGGCCTCGCCAGATGGCAGCTCAGATTGAGCCTGGTTCTGGTAGAGGTTTCTTCTTGTTCAAAGGGAGTTTTCCTCTCCACTGTCACTACAAACATTCTTTAGTGTGAGGGATAGCAAAAGAGTCAATTAGAATGGAGCTGAGCTCAAAGCCTCTTTAAAGAGGGATGTAGTCCTTTTGTCAAATGTACCACAGAGTTTGCGCATCATATGTATCATGATGACCAGCTGGAAGGTCATGTCTCTCATTTTTAATTCAGACGGTGGTTCAATGGCAGAATAAATTTTGGTTGCCTGCAGTCAGTTTTAAAGTAACAGCTGTCTACGATGTGACGTCACAGAGACGGGTTGCATAAATATTTAGTTGTAATCCAATCAGTATAATTTGCCTATGTATACCTGTCTCTCTCGGTCATCTTTATCAGACTGTCAACTCATCCATGGCTGAGTGCTGTTCTTTCCAGTGTCTGTGTGCGTAGTCTGCCTTCTGTGCTTAACCTGCACTCACTGAATTCTTTTAGCCTCTGACTCTGGTCACATTCTGGACTGCTTCTACTCGTCGAGGTTTTTTCAACCTGCCACTAATCTGCTGAAAGGCCTATTTCCTGTCAGCCATCAAGTTTGGAATCTACCTGCATCAACTTGTAACCAAAGGTTTCTGCCTCCATTTGCCTTCCAAAGCCTGTTACCCTCACTACCAGTCTGCCTGTCTGCTTTGCCTATCTATTATCACCACCACAAACTAACAATATACATTTTAAGTACAATATTTATCAGGTTCTGAGGTTGCCTATTAAACAAACCAAGTGAAAACATCAGGTTTGATGTTCTATCTGTTTATGAATAATTTGCTACAGCCAAATATATACATTTTGTGTTCTTTAACTTTTCGTTATGGATTTAAAAAATTGGCCTGGCTGCTGCAAATTGTCACTGCAAGTGGATTTTTTGCATGGTTTCATGGAAAGCTAATTTTTACATCCCAAGTGTGGTATTAAATATCGTGCCCCATATTTTTTGCATGTAGATACATTTTATATACTATAGAAGGCCGCTGGAAATAATACTATTTAAAACTTCTCCTTATTCTAGACATAATGAGAATCCAACCAATTATTTTTCACTTGCAGAAATTCCTGCATCTCCTTTGCTTTTACACCAACTGTCTCACTTTTCTCTTAAAACCAAATTGATCATGCAATATAATTTACAATCCCACTAAAATGCATTTAGGTCGGATCCAAAATATAAAAAAGTCAGATAAATTTTGCATGTTAGTATGGAAATCAAGAGCGGTCGTACTCGGCTTTCTTTTTTTCTTCGTCTTCTGGAGATAATGACATAACTATCTTGTTATCATGGTTAAACCATACATTTTTCTCGAGATAAGAAGACAATTATCTTGTTATCACAAGAGAACAGTTGATTTCGTGAGATAACGAGATGATTAACCTGTATGAGTAATGACTGGCCAACAGCCCTGGATGACCAGTCCATCCATGCCTGTGGTGCCCGTAGTTGTGCAGTCGCGGTACCATGCGCAAATAATTTGTTTCTTAGTTTCCTTTTTCTTTTCACTCTATATTACAAAACTCCCTGTCCAACTTGAAGAAACACATCGAAGTAACTTCTTATGAAATGATTATACATTCTGTTTCAGTATCTATAAGCCTGGTTTAGTACTTAACCATACAACTGTCCAGTCAGTGACTTGTACTTTTACCAAAGTCATATTTTGGAGAGGTACCTATATTTTTACTTTACAATGCTTTTTGTTGTGGCTACAGTACTGCATAAAGACAGCTCAGGGATTGAAAACAAAAACATATATATATTCCTCCAGTGGAAGAAAATGAGACAACCATGAACCATAAAATCGTGAGAGGAACCAGAATATTTCTTTAAATCTATCTTTGTAGAATATTTCCTTAAAATTAATTAAAACTACCATTTCATACATATACATATGAGGTTAGACTAACAAAAAGTCATAATATAGTGATCTACTTAATTAAACTGAAAAAGAAGTAATAACGAAATTCCTATAAAAAGCTTACCAGAAAAAATTATCTAAGTGCATTATTGGAACGATATATATAAACATGCTGACGCATAGTTGTGCAAGAAAATAAGAGAAGTGCAAATAAAATATTTCCAAAAGCAATAAGGGAAGGAAAAAACATCATTTCATTTGCCTTTTCATCCATACATGATGCTAACTGGAGATAAATGACTCCTTTCTTGTGGGATTTTAGTTCTGAATCTGCAGTCTGATTCTTCTAAGCAAAGCTGGCTCAGTGACCGTCTCTAGTGTTTTTCTTTTTGTGCTGTTTGGGGCAGATGCAGTTTTCCAACAGATGTTCTTAAAAAGCCAGGCTGGAGAAATAGTAGACCACAGGGTCCAGCACGTTGTTGAGATACATCAAACTGATAGTGATAAAGAAAACTGTGGTTGGCCCCTCCATATTAGCACACTTGAACCCTTGGGACATCTTGATCCAGATGGAAAGTGCAGTAATGTTGCTGGAAAGGAAGCAGATGATGAAAAGCACGCGAAACAACACAGTGAAGTACAGACTTTTTTTAAACTTGGCCTGGTGGGCCAGCTGTCTCCTCCTCAGGCAGCTGATGATGTTGAAGATGCAGTAGAGCATTACTAGCAAAGGCATGTAGAAAGAAAGGAGAAACGTGAACCTATGCCAGGACAGATTTCCATCGGTCTTTGTGTCTACAATGAAGCTTTTGCAGTAGGTGGTCTTGATGTGTTACAGCGAGAAGTTTGGACTATCATTGTGATGGGGACCAGCCATAGCCAAAGCGCTGATGGGATGGTGAGGATGCACCACACTCATGTATCTATCCAAGGCGATAGCCATCAAGAGGAAGGTCCTCTTGCTGTGATTCATCAGCGGCACAAAGAGGCTAATGTTGCAGCCTGTTTCACTGAACCTCCATCTGGGATCTATTCTACGAAGCAGGTTAAGTGAAAACTGAAAGTTTTCTAAATCTGAAATCAGGGAAACTCTGAGTTTTCAGTTTCACAAAGAGTCTACTCAGCCTCTAATTCAGTCACAAAGTCCCCAAAGCTAACCTGGCAGGGAGCAGGTTTTGTTCAGTGAACTCAGTGTCCTCTGTCTCCGCTCTTCTTACAGCCAATCACGTTGTTTTATTTCCTGATCCTGTCAGATTTTTTGTCCTAGTTTTGTGCAAAAAGTAATAATTCACTAGATCTGTTAGA